CCATTTCTCAGATGCCATTTTTTAGTATCCTCATTTGCAATCACTTAACAAAGTGATTAAAACCTACAATATATTAAAACAAATGTACAGTTAACTGACCTACCTTTAAAAATCATTTATTGACACTTACCTAAAATTGGTGGTCTAAATCCAATACCTTTCCCTTTTATTTGAATGCTGAATTAGTTTGTTCTTTCCCTAACGTTTTACTTTCTGCCTTATAACAGAAAAATGGCAGCTTTTATGCCATAAATAAGTTTTTAACAGCCCCCCCAGACACACACACACAATTTCTAATGTTTACAGGTTTAGTTGTGAAAAAAAAATGCTGGAGTGTTTTTCATCAATATTTTCAAAGAGCCAGGTTCTTTACACATGCTGAGCTGCATCTTACTCCATGGTCCCATTGGACTAGATTGTTACTTTAGGGACAGCCCTCAGCAAGGTATAGTTCAGAAGCTACACCACCGCAAGAGTAACCTTTAGGGTATGTCTACACTGCATTTAAAAGAGCATGGCTGGCCCGTGTCAGTTGACTTGGGCTTGCGGGGCTTGGGCTAGGGGGCTGTTTAATTGTGGTGGAGAGGTTCCAGCTCAGGCTGGAGCCGGGCTGAAGGATCCTGCGAGGGGAGAGGGTCCCGGAGCTCAGGCTGCAGGTGCAGCCTGAACATCTACACCACAATTAAACAGCCCTTTAGCCCGAACCCAGGTCAGCTGGGCAGGGTCGGCTTTAGGAAGTGCGGGGCCCAATTCGAACATTTTCGGTGGGGCCCCAGCAGGGATGACTTAAAAAAAAAATGAAAAAAAAAACCCCTTTCATTTCTTAGCAACCGATTCCCTATAAAAAGTTCTGATTTAAGGGATGTGCCACAGTATGTATTTATTGTACCAATAGGGTTACCATACATCCGTATTTTCCCAGGAGGAATTTAAAAATTCTTCCCGGACGGCGATTTAAGAACCAAAAAGCCTGACATGTCCGGGAAAATACGGATGTATGTTAACCCTACCTAAAGTTCTTTTTTAAAAAGATGGGCCTGAACTAGAAATGAGCTCCATTTCACATGTGTGGGTCCCCACCACTCCCTGGGGGTGTGTGCGCACATGTGTGGGTCCCAGCTGCTCCCTGCCCCCCTCATTGAAGCAGGTGTGAAGGGTTACTGCCCTGGGAACTGCAGGGCACCACTGGACATGGGGCTGACTGGAGGTAGGGTCTGGCTGCAGGCAGGGCCAGGGGTGCCGGGCTGGCTGGAGACGGAAGTGTGGGATGCGCTGGCTGGCTTCAGGCAGGGCCGCAGGGGGGTGTGGCAGGGGTTGGCAGGGCTGGAGACAGAGGAGTGCGGGACTGGCTGGCTTCAGGCAGGGGGGTGCGGCAGGGGTTGGCAGGGCTGGAGACAGAGGAGTGCGGGACTGGCTGGCTTCAGGCAGGGGGGAGCAGCAGGGATTG